CCCCAAAACCCCAAAACCCCAAAACCCCAAAACCCCAGCTAATCATCTTTATTGAGGATTATGTTAAATTTGAGAAAAGTTAAATATTAAATTAAAGTTCCAAAGCGAAACAGTTGGGTATTAATTCCATAAACTTTGTTGAGTGCTTATTTATTGCAATTAAGACTGCATTTCTTAATCATTCACATATTTTCATTGGATCATGAGCCTGCATTGAAAATTTGAAAATGTGCTTGATCTTTATCTTAATCTTTTCAAGTTCAATTTCATTTTCTAGTTATGAGATTCTCAATATTGTCTTGATATCTTTAGGGTCTACATTCTACTCAATCAAATCGAATTCATCAAACTCTTTATCCTATTCACTTTCATTCTATTAAATCTGAGTCTTTGTCAAATCTATTCTCTTTTGTTTTGTAATATCTGTTTCAATTTCTTGAACTTCCTCTTCTATATCAGCTTGCTTAGCTTGATCTCCCTAGTTAAATATCTAACTGTATTTCTATCTTCTCTTAAGTTCCTTAAGATTTTCCATTGCTTGCTTTCTGAGATTTTCATTTGAAAATCTATTATCACTATCATCCTATTCTTCAAATGCAAGAGTAGGGGCATCTTATGCTGATCCCTGATCCTATCCCTATGAAGCGATCATTCCCATCATTTTCTCATGATGAGTCAATTTCTTTTCACCAGTGGGTGTTTGACCAAGTGAATTAACGTAAAGACCTCTCAGGAAATCATCTAAAGAAGTATGCTCAAGCATCTTATCAATATCTATCTCTTTGAATGCCACAGTTGATTAAAGTTCCATGTATACATATTAAGATCTGCCTTCAATATCTTCATCATCATCTTCTCCATCTTCTAGTGAAACTATATCATCCTTAGATGCTCTTTACTTGTCAGCTCCTTTTTTAATATCTTCAATTTTTGAAGGTTTCTTTCCACCGCTTGCCTTAATATTTTACTCGTACTTAGAATCTACTTGCTTTGATGCACCTACCATTGGTGAGACTTTGACCTTTCCATATTCCTTTAAATCTTCAGCAATATTCATAAGCATTAATCTACCTTTTTAAACATTTTCTTCATCATAAATATTAACTTTCATGTAGAACTTAAGTCCAGAGTAAGTTTTCAAGTACTCGATAGCCTTCTTTTTCTTATTATCTAAATCATGCAATGAGATAGTTGTAGTTAACCTGAATGTCTTGGACTTAGAATCCTTTTCTTCTCCCTGTCTGCCTAGTTTCTTGAATAATCTCTTGAGTAGTTCAAGTTTATAAAGCATGATCTTTGTAACAGGTGGGTCTATTTTAGAGTTTCTAAGTACCAAGTCCTTCTTGCCTCCAGCTGCTGCGTCCTAAGCTTCTTGGAAAGTCATATCTCCAATAAGTACATCATTTTCGTCATAAACTCTGACGATACGATCTGGACCAAACCCAATTTCCTCATTGTGGGGATAGTAACGAGTGCCTGTAATATCACAGAGTGTTTTTGCAGTGATCTTTTTATTGCTTCCTAAGCTTGTAGTTCCAAGAATTGGAGCTTGATTTTATGATGAGCTCTCAACAGTAGCAAAATTGAAGTATGAATAAGGCTACATTATCATAGTCTTGGCCTGATACATTGATTTTACTTGTGGTTACAATGCCATCATTCTTGGCATCTTTGATACTTATTTGCGAACAATAGTGTTTAAAAGTAATCGCTTTGTGAACATATTTAATGGATTATAATTTATTATTTATAATGATGCTTTCCAGTATTTGAATGGGGTTTTGGGGTTTTGGGGTTTTGGGGTTTTAGGG